TGAAAAAGTGTTAAAAAAACAGAACGGATGGTTTTTTCGAAGCTTTAACATTAATTTAACTATTGTATAAAATGTTAAAGCTTCGAAAGAACCATTTTAGAAATTCTGATTTAAGATTTTCTGAATTCAATATAAAAAAATTTTGGCCTATGTGAGACTACTAGTCTATGTCTCGTTGCACATTACATCAACTAAGTACTATTAGATAGAAGAAAGTGCTTGATATTTCACAGAATTATCTGAAACATTCACTGCTTTCTCTTTGCTCATAACAATTTGAAAGGCAAGATTCCAGCACCAGAGATGAAGTCGGCACTTAGGCCTCTTTCATATAGTACAAACCCACCTATTTAAATTGGAAGAAGACGCGAGTTGGAGTTATTTCGAGCAAAATTGCTGTTCAAAACGCATTAGCTTCTTTCAAAACGAGTTTTTTTGCTTATTCTACTATAGTATACACAAACAATTTACTCCTTGAAAACATTTAGCGTACAAAGTCACACTTCCAAACTTAGAAAACCTATACTCGCTTTTTGCTTTAATGATATTGCAAGCAAACTTGGGGAAGTTCTCGTTTCTTTGTAAAAGAAAAGTTTAGAAAAACCAAGATATGAGACGTACCCTAATATGGAACAATTAATTCGCAAAACTCTGGTGACTAGTAGAAGGACAGACAGGAATAAACAAATTCTGTTTATTTGTTGCGCACTTTCTACGATAATATGCCCTCCTTTTCAACAAGAATTCGCAGCCCATAAATCATCCAAATGCTTTTATCACATTGTTGCATCAATTTTATTGCTCTACTTGCTATTTCAAGGCTCTATGATTGTGATTAGCATGTAGAAAAGGAAAACTAACAAGTAAATCCTAAATTCACATCGCATATCAAAGTATGAAGTTTATTTGAGAAAAAGCTTTTTACTTTAACAAATATTGCTACACTTTTTATTTAGTTTGAAAAAAAGCTCACCAAAATAGTAACATGCGGCTTATTTTTTATCCTATTTTCAAAGCAGTATAGAAGACTTCATGAATTGTTGGTAAACTGCATAACAATGAAACTATTTAAACTTAAATTCTAGAGGGTTAGGCTCCTACAAAAGGAATTTATCTATCCTTTTAGAAAGAACTCTTCTTCCCATACACTACTTAAATATTTAATCGCGTCAACTTTTTGGAGTGCCTCAAAATAGTCTCCACACACGAAAATGGACCATTCTCGCCCTAATGGGATTTTCAAACACATAATCCCACGGGATTTCATGCTGTTTTTGCAATTTACGGCACAATCGGGCAGCCTTCTTTTATGGTTCTCCTTAACTATAAGAAGTGGAGTTAAAGTTAGTTGATTTATTTGAGAGCAAAAGTACTTCCATAAGTCAAAAGAGATAAGTTTCACCGTCAAAAGTTTTGTCATTGGCTTCCACCCTTTTGCAAATCTTCAGATGCACAGTTTGTTAAATGTCTAATTTATCGACGTCCAAAATGAGATTTAATGCTGAATTCCAAGATATCATAATGTATTCGTAGTTAAATTATGAAATCTTGTCTCGTGCATTCTCTATTTAGCCGACTGCAACAAAATAAATGATAGGCATTTACCGAAAAGCATAACTATTCATGAATCATATTATTGCATTAGACTCACCCCTCTTCTCAGATAACCAATGAATTACAGATGTGTAGTAATTCCGTTAGAAGATGATATCCTTTACAAATTTTCTGGACTATAGTGCTTCCCCCTAACTTCTGCAAAGTTTTATAAACCATTCCAAATGCTTGTCCTTCCTCCTGACAACGCTTCACCAAAATAGGCATGTCCTCTTTGGAAGACATATTTTGAATAATTTGGTTTACGCACATGA